GGCCTGGGACTCTGCCAGCACCTCTGCCCCTCGGCCCAGCAGTGAAATCCAGCTCAGCCATCTGATTTCTCCCAGAGGATTGACACACCTTTCTGTGGTTATCACCCTACAGTTACTTCCTTTCTAACCTGCTCTACTTAGTTCATGATAAAGCAGCGCCGAAGGGCAGTGCTGGGCACAGGCTCTCTCCTTTTGAGAGTAATTGTGCAGTGCTCCAACAGTCAGTATTTAATTTCAACAATCAGAATTGTGAGAGAAGAGGCTGCAGTGATGTCACCTCTGGCTTTCATTTCTGTCGTTGCTTCTTTCTGTTTCTCAGAGGAGTGGCAGCTGTTTGGGGCTGTGATTGATGAACAGCCTCCCACTGCTGTGGGTGCTGAAGCGCAGATCAGGATTGTTGTGAGTGGTGCTGTGTCTGATGCAGAACCACAAAAGGGTTGGAAGAAAACCCAAACGTTTCATGCTGTAGTGAAAAGCCAAAGGATTCACAAATGGCTTTTGCTGTTAGATGGGGTGATTTGCTCCGGGAGCGAAAGCCTGATGTGTTGCAAGAATGGAGGAGCAGCAGAATGTGTACATCAGAGTGTGTGAACTGCCCTGCAACCCTGACTGGATGCTGGCATATTAGCAAAAATAAATAAAAAGATAAATACACTGTCTTGTGGGGAAAAAAAATCACTGAAAGTTTGTCATGGTCTGTGAAAAGCTTTTGTTTTCTGTGCTGGTCAGTCATCTAGCCTTGGCATTTAAGTTTTTAGAGGGCTGAAGAACTTTAGGTATTTTAAGCTTCATTTCTCTGATGCTTGGAGCATGACTTGTTTCAGAAAGCCTGGGCTGCAGTATTTGTCATTCTCTTTCAAAGCATGTCAGACCTGCAGTAAGCACACCCAGAATCATGCCTGGCTAAATTATTTTGCAGATTCCTTTTCCATCCTTAACCAAAACCCCTGCCCCCATCAGGCAGCTGTTTTGCTTGAATAATTGCATTTCTGCAGAATTCTCTTTTTCAGAGGGGAAAAAGAAAAAAAAAAAAAAAAAAAAAAAAAAAGCGTGTAGCAGAGTTCCACAGATTTATTAGGAAAATGATCAGGTGAAAAATACACAACAAGATTCAGCAGTGTAAGTAATTCTCATTGCCAGCAGTTGTGTGTTGTCAGCTGGGAGCTTGCAACAAGTCTGCATGATGGGCAGAGGAGGGAACAAAGCTCAGGCTTAGCAGAGTGCTGGAACCTGCGGCTTTCTGTCGCAAGGTGACCCAGCAAAGCATGAGAGCCCGTGCTGTCTGTGAGCAGCAGACTTTTCTGATTCCTCCCCTTGTTTCTTAAAACATTCTTTCAGTGCTGATTCATTAGAAACCTCTCTAGTCATTTTCTCTTTCTCAGCAATTTGTTTTATTAATTGAAATTGCAGCTGAAATGTCAATCTGACTTAAACAGAAACAGTTTATAAGTGGAAAACTTTCAGGATACTAGTCATTCTAGGAACTCTGGTGTGGTTAATTAGGTGATGCCAGGGGGAATTCTACTTTAATAAGAATAGTCAGTAGTGGAGCTCTTCAGTGGTACAGAATGTTGTCCGGAAGCATGGGGCCTTGCATGCAGTGCTGTTGGAGTTGCAGGTTGCCTGCCCATTCTTCTTGCCTCTAGCTGTGCCCCTCTGTTCTGGGAGCCAAAATCAGGACCTGTAACAAGCACTTTCTGGGCTCAGTGTTTCTCTCTATATTCTACAATTAAGAACGGGGGAATTTGGCTGCAGTGTTAGAATTCCACTTCTTGGGCTGTGGTGCAGTGAGGCACACCCTGTCCTCTTCTAGATGGGAATTGCATGGAATTCCCAGAAAAACAGTGAAAACAGGTTGCTGCTGTCACCAGCTGTATCTTAGTGAGGCCAGAGAGGGACATGCCCCTAGCTGTCCTTACAGGAACTTGTCTGAGGAGGTACAGAGCTGCTGCAAGGAGGAGCCCATGTTGTGTTTCCTGACTTTGTCCTGCTGGCTACTTGTGGATGCAGAGAAGAATGACAGAGCTGCAATCCATACTCTGCTTCAGAAGCTGCAGAAGAGTGGGATGTCCCTGTCTGCCTGGGAATGAGAGGAGTGGTGTGGGAAAGCTGGGATTTGGGTGGGACCTGGACAGGTCATCAGGCCTCCAGCTCCTTCCATCTCAGGACTGATCAGCTGGACCCAGATGATGTGTGTCATGCTGCCATTGAGAGGGAAGTAACTTGTTTCTATGAGGCAGCTGCTTCCACCTTCTTCTGCCAAGTGATGGCTGTTCTGATAGGATGGGATGGGATCACAGAATCACAGAATGGCTTGGGTTGGAAGGGACCTCAACAATCATCAAGATCCAATGCCCCACCACAGGCAGGGCCACCAACCTCCACATTCAGTACCAGCCCAGGCTGCCCAGGGCCCCATCCAGTCTGGATCTTGAACACTTCCAGGGATGGGGCATCCACAACCTTTCTAGGCAGTCTGTTCGAGCACCTCACCACTCTCTCTGTGAAGGGCTTCCCCCTGACATCCAATCTAAACCTTCCCTCCAAGGAATGGGATGGGATGGCTTGGGATGGCATGGGATGGCATGGGATGGGGAGATTTAGGTGTGACCAGTCCCAGGCTCAGAGTTGAACATACTAATTCCCTCTAACAAAGGTTGCCATTGGCCGTGTCAGTTTATTTTAAGGGCTTTCCCTGGCAGCAGAGCTGGGAAACAAATCCACCTGAGCACATTCAGAGCACAGAGGCTGTCACAGGAAGGGCTACTGGCCTCTCGTACTGGGTTTATTATGGGAGCTGTGTACCAACAGATGTTCTAGTCATTTTTGCAATTTGTATAGAACACTTTTTGTTTCAGAACTGGCATATTACCTCAGGATATTTGCTCTGCGAGTATAGAATTTTTAGGTTCACCTTGGAATATTTCCATTTCCTCAGGGCTTTGCGGTGCTTTTTTTAAAGTGAAAAAACTGCTGGTTTGAGAAGAAGCACACCCTGTGATATATCTTGCCTGTAAGGCTTCGTGCCCGTCACAGTGTGCCAAGTAAAGGGCATATACCATCAATGCTGATAGGCCACGTCTAGCCTTTCTTCCTTTTTCACACTGCTAAAATTGTCTTTTTCCATTAAAATCAAGCATGGACCGAGCAGCTCCATGCTGGGAATCGTTAAGCGGTGTTTAAATAGACACTTATCACACCTGGGCCTGGAGCCCTGGAGCCCTTATCACGGGCCTGGAGCCGTCTGACGCGTCACTCACTGGTGGAGTCTGAAGCTTCCTAGAGATGACGATCAGTGCCCTGGGATGCACAGATTGCTGTGGATATCCACTGCTCCTCATCTTCTGGATGTTCGAGCTGGCTGTGCGTAATCTGTAAGCGTCAGCACGTGCTCAGTGGCCAGCTGTGGGACCCGAGATCATAGAGAATGCCAGGATAATGAAAGCTTCTGTGGAACGTCTTCAGGATAAACATACTGATTTTCTTTCCATTTTTGTCTTTTGGTAGTTGAGAAACGCAGACACAAGTACAGCCCTTAAACTTTTTCTTGCCGTGTCCTGATGTTTCAAAAGGACTTGTAATTTTGGCTCTTGGAAACAATGTGAAGGCATCTGATTTTCAGTGGCTGGGAATGCTGCTCTTCCTGAATAATCAGGCTCTTTTGACGCATCTTAAATTGGGCACTGGAGTAATGGATAGGCAGATACAAGAAGTTGACTTAGCTCCGTGGGGGTTTAGGCAAAGATGCTTAAACACACAGCTCTGATATGCTCTGATATGCACGCAGCCAGTTATCATTGCTGAGCAGACAAGAGGCCCTGATTAAGGCACAGAAAGTCTGGCATGTGAGACCATTAGCCCATGTTCAGCCAAGTGATGCGCTCCAGATGGGCAGCCCTCTTTGGAAAGTGTAAGTCTGTTCTTCTTTGAGTGTCAGAAGAGTCTCCTGCTGGCACTAAGAATGAGTGGCATGATAAAACATTCCTTCTAACTACAGTAAAATGCATTACTTGGGTTTTCCCCATTTTATACGAGTCCTGGAAGGTTCAACAGTAGTCTCCATTGACATGAGATGAAGCCTGTGCTCCCATGTAGGGTGGTGACACTACAGCTGCTTTTGTGACCCAAACTACCTATGCTGGGTAAAAAGAAAAAGTGGATGCAGAAGCAGCTGTATTTGCACGCTAGGAAATGGGGTGGTTGTCTTGAATTTCCTGGCTTATTTTTTTTCCTTTGTCTTCTTCAGGCAGACAACCATCTGTCCTGGCATAAACACTGCAGTCTTTGACTAGCTAGTACAGCTAAAGCCATAGCCAGACAGAAAGCCATGTAAATGTTGAATTCTTGGAAAGAAAAGGAAAATGATTAATTTCCAAGTGTTATTTTCTTCCTTTTGAAAGTGTTCTTGAAGAGCTGAAAGGGAGAGTTCTTTCCTGTATTACTTTGCCAAAAGCCTGTTGAAGTGTTGTTGGTGCTTACTGGCACATATCACCTGGGGATGTTTAAAAGCCCTCTGAGCAGCTTTCCAAGCCTTCATTAACATTTGATTTCTATCCAAGCGAGGAAAAAATTACCACTGTCCTTTCTTTGCAGGTGGGTAGGCAGCAGTGAGCAGCTTTGGTGATTTACCTGCCTTTTAGGGCACGCTCTCCAGTCCTTGTAGGAATTCCAGGAGTCTGACAAAGTCATCTTTTTCTTTTCTTTCTTTTCCTTAATAACCAATTTGACAAGTCTGTACGTTGTCACAGTTTCCATACCTTCTCATTGCTCGCATAGTATCTTTCTGGGAAAAATGAAATGAAGCATAACCTCAAAGTTTCCTTTCACAGCAATTTCCTCCTAGCTGCAAATCCACATTGGTGTTTTTCCTCCATTTTATAGTTGCACACTTTCCCCCCCCTCCCCCCCAGTTTTAGGTGGAGAGATTCATCAAGTGCTGGGTTTTCTCACACAGCAGCTGTGTCAATGCCTCTAACCATCTCTCTTCTTGTGGTCCTCAGGCAACCCACTGACTGTGGCCTGCAAAGCTTTCTTTGGGTTCAGTGGTGAATCTGGCCCCATGATCTACTGGATGAAAGGGGAAAAATTCATAGAAGAATTAGAAGGTCACATTAGAGAAGGTGAAATCAGGTACTTTTTGGAGTGCTTAGTTTTAGAAATGTGGTACGTCCCAAAAGCCTGTCTGTGGTTTGTTTTCAGAACACATTTGTAATTGGAATTGGAAACAGTTCTGCATCTAAAGACTGATAAATGACTTGGAGGCAGGGCAGTGTGAGATACACTCTCTCCAGCAAATAAACTTTTAAGACAAAAGAGCTACTTAGGTGCCCGAAAATCTGTCACCACGTTCCCCTGGCAGTAGCTGAAACATCTCTTGTTAAAAACCCAAAACAACTTTGGCTTATAGAGAATTTTGGTGTCTGTTGCTGTTAATGTAAAGTGTGAAGGTCTCCGGAAGAGGCAATTTCCATCCAGCACAAGCAGCATGCTGGTTAATTACCTGTTTTCCTTTGTGCCTCCCACCTGTCTCTGGAGAAGAGATTTCATTTTGGTAAATAGAATAAAACTAAATTAAATTAAATAAAAACGAAATAGTTGTATCTGTAAAGCCACGTCAGACTGCCAGCAGAGCTATGTGCAAGGTTGAGTTCACAGGCTTCGGACGTGAGGGCATCGTGCATGCTATGTTTATCCCCTGCTGTATTTTGCAGCAGAATACTAACAGGATCAAATAAACCTGGCAGACTACACATGACGTTACATTTCCTTGTTCAAAGGGCCAGTCACTTTCTTGAGCAACTGATAAGAAACCTTTCACAAAAAGAAGGGCATTTTATTTTTAGACTTATGGCGTCACCGAGAAAAACTTGCATTTATGTTGCATTATTTGTCATGTTCATGTTAGAACAATGACATGAAAAGGCTGTACCTCTGGCATCACTACAACTTTCTTTTTCCTTTGTTGAGATTTTGTTTGTTCATTCTGTCTTTTCGAGTTCTTGTTCTTGATACTGTCACCTTTAAAAGTTAGGATCTGCACCAAAAAAACAAAGAGGAAAATTCCAGAAGGTTGCATCTTTCCTTTCAGACTCCTCAGAGAACATCTTGGAGAAAAAGAAGTTGAATTGACATTGATCTTTGATGCTGTCGAGGAGGCAGATCTGGCTAACTATACATGTCATGTGGAAAACAGAAACGGACGGAAACATGCCAGCATCCTTCTGCGCAAGAAAGGTAATACCCTTAATTTTATTAGCCACGCTCCCTCTTGCCTCTGCAGCCATGGGTGAGCCAGCAGTAGGGGTCCTGCTAATCTGGCTGAGCCAAGCTGAGCTCTGTGCTTGCTGGAGCGGAAGTATGGTTGTGTTATGGCTTCAGTTTACTATTTATGGGGGAAAAAGTCACAAACTACCACTAGCGAATCGGCCTCACGGTTGATGCACTTGCCTGGGACACAGCTACCTGTAAAGCCCTACAAAATTCAGTGCATGTGTTTTGGGCAAACAATTCATGAAACTGACCGAGAGTAGACAGATTAGACTAGAGGTAAGAGTGTTAATAGAGTTAAAATGTGCATTTGTTAGATTAGGTACCTCAAGATTTTGTCATACTTTTCCACTTCCTAGCTGTGTTTAAACTGAAATCTTTAAATATTGCCATACATTTTGATTCCTAAATGCAAAGAGGAATGAAGACTTTGCAGTGGGAGCTATAGATGGATGGAGAATCATTACTTCTTTTCATGTTACCTGTCCTGAGATTGTGCCTAGAACTGGGACTACTACTGACAATTTGTCTGTAGAATAGGAACCCTTTGAGTTTGAATGCTCCATACTACAAGGTACTACTATTCTCTTCCATTTGTAGTCTTTATTATAAGGCATGCAACAGTATCTCATTACAGTTCTTACCTGCTTAGTTCAGTTACCTCCTCTAACTGTTCGTACAGTGATATTTGAACTTGTTTGTGGTCTCTTTAAGGCAGAGTGAGTACAAAAGCTGTTGAGGGAGCAAGGAAATATTGCATGTTAGTGCAGTTAAAAAAAGCAGTGCTCTCCATCATCACCCTAGCAGGGATATCTGCACAGATATCCCCTTTTCAAGAAGGTTTAAATAGACCATTGTTATGTGAGCATGCTGCAGGCTGAATTTAGGGTTAGAGGCCACCATGGCACTAATGAACTAAGAGCAGTTGACTGAATAGGAAGACCAGCCAAGGTAGGTGGGGTTGTGACCAGGTCCACCAGCACCTTGGTTCCAGAAGACAACCCTAGCCACTGGGTTCACCTAGAGCCGTGCTGAATGCTAACTGCTGTGCTTCATGGCCATAATTTATGCCTTCAGATAATTTGTATAAAATCAACAGTGAGGGAGAAGTGGTATAGCTTCAAAAAAGGTCTAGTGGGAAGAAGAAATGTTGGAGTCACTGTCCTATTTTTACTATTCTTTCCTGTGACCCACAGGTTGTACGTATGAAAGTACATTACTGAGTCCTGACAAAACTGGATCAATTCTGCTTAAACCGTTTCCTGTTCATGCAGGAGTTTATGCCCTCCCAGAAAGAAGAGTGTAACATAGAGTCATCAAATCATAGGGCTTGGAAGAGACCTCTGAAGCTACCCTAGCCCAACCCTATATGAAAGCAGTCCCTTCCAGCAGTTGCCCAGAAAGCATGCAGGCAGGTTTTTAAGATCTTCAGGGAAGGAGACTCCACTGCCTCTCACTGGCTGTGCTTTATGCTCAGGATAGAAATACATGAGCTGCAAAACCATTCTGAAAAACAGGGGCCTGCTGCTGTGATGCAGAACGCGCACAAATGTTTATTCAACATCTCAATTGACGGAATGTCACAACTTTAATTAAGGAAACTGGTCATCATGATGAAGGATTAGTCTCGTTAGTGCAGAAAGCATTCTACCTTCCCATCCACTGAACCTAATAAATATACAACTGATATCTTTGTTGACACTGTTAAATGTTCAGCTGTGTTGCATATATTAGAATAACAAGCTGGGTTTATTTATAACAAGAAAATGCAGACATTTCAGACCTCTGCTGAAATTATGGAAGAAGCACTGCTGAATACTGAATTCGGAGGTGGACAGAATCACTTCTCAGCTGCTATTTCATTTCTCCATTCCCCTCAGGCATTTTAAGTGGTTTGTTTTGAAGCTATTAAAGTGTCATTTAAAATACCCCCAGTATTTTCACTTTGTGCTTTGACTACATATCCTGTTGTCATGGTTTTATTAAATTCTTACTAGCACTTGACCAAACTTTTCCCTTCTGCACCTTGATATAATACTTCTTATTCTAGCTTTCTCCTGCTTGGATTTGGTTGTAGAGCATTCATAAGCTAGGCAGCACTACATCATTACTCACCTGTGGCAAGAGTTAGGCCAGGACTGGTAGAAGGCTGTTTACCAGTACCCTGTATGTGTGTCAGAGGATCATGGATTCCTATTATAATGTGCCTCAGTTTTTCAGAAGCTGGGAACAACATTTGGGAACAACGAGAGAAGCACAGATCTCTTTCAGAGAAACACACCTCCCCCACAGTCCAACCTGCTTGGGGCTGCCTTATCCCTGTTCAACAGGAGGTGTTTGTAGTGCGGTTTTGTCTCCAGCTTGCCACAGTACTACAGGTTTTATCAGTTCTAAGGAGTGACTGCAGCACATCAGGGGTACCCGAGATGGCATTGGTTGTGAGTACTGCTAAATGAGGGAGGTTGGAATTAAAAAAAAAAAAAACCTAACTAAAAACAGGGATAAAAGCCAGAAAGCCAGATCCAAGTTAAAGCTCTGGAGTTCTTTGAGGAAGAAAAAGGAATTGCACAAATATTTAAGGTACAAATGTTGAAGTCTTTTGCTAACTAGTGGGACAGACCTCACAAATGCTTTCTTAGAATGCAGGAGTGCCTTCTGTACAACATTGTGTTTTGATAACCTCGCAGCGTCTATCACCACTTGAGATTTTCATTTTTGACTGAAAAAGGAACCAAATCCAGCTTCAGACCCCTAGACCTAACAGAGAAAAGGCAGAATTAGGCATGCTGCTGAGACCTGGATACCACTTTCTGTTGTTACGTTCTTCTTCACTGACTTCATTTGAGACACATTGTTCTTCACTTTCAAGTAGCTCAAATATAAATTCACATATAAATTCTGGGCAGTCCTGGCTTTGTTTTTGGTTTTTTTTTTTCCCATGTTTGAATTACCTGCAGTAACAGTATACATTCACTTGATCCTTAGATGTGGAAATAGCTTGGGATTCCCTTCAAATTAATTTGAAAAGCATGTTTTCCTAATTGAAGTCACAATGCACTATAGAACAGCTGTCTTGGAAAGAGAATAAGTTATCAGGAAATGCAGTGCAAAATCAAGCAGCACTCCTAGTGAAAGAAGCTGTGAATTTAGGTAAAAGTAAATATTACAGCTATGTTGGCTCAGCTTTTACTTTCCAGGAGACTGCGTTTGTTCAAGACATACAGGAACAAGTGAGTGCTCTTTTTATATTGATGTAGTATTAAATGCTGAAGGACCTTCTGAAGTGTCTTGGTCTCAAGCCACTCACGAGGTGTAGTAAAGATTCAAATTATTTTAAAGATTATAATCCACTGCGTCATAGGCTGTGCCTCAGTCTTTCTGTATTATTTTATGTTAGAACCCACCTGAATATTATTATTCACTAGGTTTCAGTCGCTGTTAACGCAAAAGTTCAGCTTCTGTGACTTTCCTGGTATTGTGTTTACTCAACTGCCTTTCCCACCAGTCTCAGTGAGGACAACTCAGGGGCAAAGAGTAAGAGCTGGAGTAGGCAAGAAAACTGAGCTTTTGGGGGTTTCCTCCATTACCTCTGCCTTGGAATGCAGATAAGGAGACCAAAAGGTAAGTTTGGAGCCTAGGAGAGGTAAAGGAGATGCAAAAGCAGATTGATTTGCGTTTTGAGTTGCAGGTTGTGTTTTTGCTCAGTATCCTGCCCTCGCCCTGGCACATGTGTGCAAGTCTGAGCTGCACGTGATCTTCAGGACGCAGCATGGCCAACAAGCCTAGCTCTTCTGGTGGTGTAGGCAGGCCACTGCCATGGATGGGCTGTTTATTCAGTTCTCTACCATGCAGCAGCTTCAAATGCTGTTGAAGCAAGCAGGTAAAACCAAAAAAAGTCTGATGCTGTGCAGCATAAGGTGCTGAAGGATTTGTCAAGTGCTTTCCTACAGGCTTTCATTGTCCAGCAATTGGGATACAGCTGCAGTATGGATCAGAGAACACAACAGGCTTAGTATAGGGACTTTATTCTGCAAGGTAGCACAGATCAACTTCAGTTATCAGAACTGAATGGCCTTCAGCAATTTCTCTCCTTCCAACCTGGCAGTTTTGCCATCATCCCAATTTCCTGGTAGAAAAGTTTCAGTACAATAAGAAAGGTTATTTTTTTTTTTCACTGAAAAGTAATTTTAACCAACTCTTTTCTTCATTTGACCAGATTTATCCCCAAGCACATGCCAACTTTATTTTGCAGTGTAATAAAAGTCCCAGAAATTCCCTGTTCTCAGAGAGATTAAATAGCTATTGTAATAGGCTTCTTCCTTCTATTAGCTCAGGACTTCTCACCAGACATCAGAGGTACTGCAGACTGGGAATAACTTGTCATCCGATGTTAATTATTGAAATACAAGGCATGGAAAGGCAAGACTAACCCCAAAAGACACCCAACTAATTTGCTTTCTATCTTGAAAATGACACGAATGACATACCAGTAATTTCTTCTGACGTGTGTTTTAGAAGCTTAAAGATCTCAAAAACTTTTTCCCTCCTGCATTTAGGATCATCCTATTGTATTTATAGCAGCATATCTTTGTACTGTGTTTATCACAGGGTATCTTCATGTCATCTTATCTGAACTGATACAGATTGTTGGGGGTAGCTATTGTCAAATTTCTGTGCTTTGTCCTTTATGGTGATGTAATACGCCAAGAGGTGGCATGAGCAATATTGCATTCTGAGGATATTTCAGGCTAAGGTACAACACTGTTAAATCTAGCATCTTACGTCAGGTGAAGCACTGGAGTGCTACCCAAGATTTTTTATCTTGCTCTGGCGTTGGCTTGCTAAATGGCATTGGACATGCTGCTTCGCTTTTCCATGCCTGTTTCCTCAGCTGTAAAAGATGGATAATTGCATTTCAATGAATTTGTGAAGTACTTTGAGATAGCCTGCTTGTGATGTTTCCTAACAAAAGTATCCCAGTCAGAAATCTGAGCTAGTGCTAGTTTCCATTACAGTACAATGTGTACTAAGCAATCATGTAAGACCTCTGTTAGTCACAGCTCAATCAAAGTGGCTCTTAGCAGCCTGATGTGTGCTTTCTGCTTCTCACATTGTTTTGGGCATTCTGGATGCTGATTCATCTACCAGTGACTCAGCTGAAGCTTTGGCTGAGCAACAGACATCAGCTCATCCACTGGCACCACAGCCATAAAGCTAAAGTTAATGTTATTTGGAGAGCTGGGGTCCCCAATGGGGCACAACATGCCTAGTAAGCCTATTCTCACATGCAGCATACAACATTTGATGCTCTCCTACAAAGTGGAAGTTTCAAACAAGTTCATTAAAGGTTGATTAATCCTCAGTATCAAATCACTGCCTAATTCCCTTCTAGAATTATCACTATAGCCTCAAATGCATTCTGTCTGAAATTTCGGACAGACAGTAAAATGATTGAAGTTAAATAATGGGCTAAGAACAAAAATAAGACATCCTTAATGTTACAGTGGTTATAACAGGAAGCTGTGCAATTCCGTGTGGAATTGTACAGTGGATTACAGCAATTAGAGCTTCGAAAGATCATAACCTTTCTGTCTTTCCTTGCTAATTTTAGATTTGATCTACAAAATAGAACTTGCTGGAGGATTGGGAGCCATCCTTCTTCTGCTTATTTTGCTTGTGACCATCTATAAGTGCTACAACATAGAGTTAATGCTGTTCTACAGACAAAACTTTGGAGGAGATGAAGCAGCAGACGGTAAGAAGTTGCTTATACATACAATGGAATATTTACAATGGAAATACTTCAGAGGTCCAAAGTGATGAAATTTCTAGTTTAAGTTCAAACTGCTAAGCACTCAACAGTGTAAATCTCTAACACTTTCTCGCTAAGCCTGCTTAAATCAATGAATCTGTTCACTGAAGTGTCACAGGTCTATTCCGTATGAAGAGGAATAGGAAGAATTCTTCTGGAGTGTATAATAGAGGTTTGAATGTCATTTTTGAACTGATCTCTCAGGAAAACTCTGTGTTTGCATGTCCCAGTGCCCAGCATCTCTTCTTTTGCTATCCGTACTGTATGTTGACATAAATTCACCAGGTATCTTCCACTGAACTTTTCTGTTACACTGTTATCAGCCAACTACCTCCAGGAGTTAGTGAGTCAATTGTTATTGAGGTTAATTAGTTACCTCTGTTAATTGAGAATATGAAACATAATGGAAATACACAGCTGCATAGCTTGCCTGTAGAGTATGTTTAAGAATAGCAAGGGGTGTTTTGCACTTCCTCCCTCCATCCCCCGCTTCAGTAGGCAGGTGGTTTCTTTAATGCTTAAAGCTAAAGCTGTTTTTCAAATTGAAGCTTTAATTCCTCTGAATATAGAACATTCCCTGCTCCTATGAAGCTTGAATAAGCATTGGTGAACTCAGTCCAAGTGCTTTAAATCATATCATCATATTCTTAGTGTTTATAATGTGCACACTGATTGTATATTATGTATTAAAAATAGTACCTGCTGAAGATCCCAGGTGTAGTGATCAAATAAAGCTACTGCAGCACTTACAAGTCACGTAGACAGTCTGTAATGGTATCTTCAGAAACAATAACATATTTGAAAAAGGAGCAGGAATCACATTACCCCCATTGTGCAAAAACAATGTGCGTTTGCACAGGCCTTTTGCTTTCTGCGGCCAGCATCACCACTATCAAAATAATGAAGCGTTCTGTTAAGCACTGGGTGGATAAGCCGTGAAAAAGTTGGCTACAATGAAATCCATAGTAGTGTTGGAGGATGGGTGGAATGACATCCAACGGATTATAGAACATGGTATGATAAATAGCAGGAACAGAGGTCAGGAAACTTCCTTTCTCAAGCTTTGTGTGAGTGGGAAAACCTGAAATTGTTGTGCTCTTTTTTCGTACAATGCAGGGAAATATTTATATTGATAGAGAGGAGAAAACAAAGAGTAAGACTGAATGGTTTTAGAGGTGACTTGTATCTAATACTTTGGGATTATACCAATGTGATTTCCCTGTTTGACACCAACCAAAAATGACCCAAAGTAGTAACTTTCCCCCAGAATGAAAGTATTCTGCTCCCTTTTTTTCCAAAGTTAAGCTGCCACATTTTTGTTGATGTAGCTTTTTTTCTTCTGTTACTGTTTAATTTATGAAACATTGCTATTTTTCACTTGTTTAGACCAACCCCGTGATACTTAGAGGATTCTGTGTGCATGTTAGTTCTGGGATCGATCTCTTGCTTTTCGTACATCATTTTAGAACTATTGCAGCCGTGCGTCTTATTCTGATCCTGCACTATGAAAGATGAAGGCAGAATGCTGCTGAAGTCAAAGTGTATATAAGGGTGTTTCGGTGATTCATTCTACTTCTTCTCGCTACGGAGTGAGCCTACAGAGGTTCTGTGAGCCATCATCTGTGTAGGTGCAATTGCATATATCCCACTTGTATGTGCATTTCTTTAAAACAAAAGACATGAAACCTAACAGATTTTTTAACCCTATTTCTAAAAATAGCCATGTAGGCTATGCTGGATGCATTTACTTCCTGTGTTGTACATAGCTTTGTTTTTAGACAAAACATTCTGGCAATAGTGAAGATTAAGGGAAGCCATTTAGAAAATAACCTCAACAACACTGCTTCCAAAGCACACAGAGGAAGCAGTGGGCAAGCATAGGTCCTTCTGCTAAAATCCAGTGTATGTGAAGCTTGTGAGGAGGGAGCCAAGGCTGCGGAGATATAACACAAGCATATGGGCTCACAGGAGGCCCTGGGGAACTCCTCTTGCTTGTTTGCATTGTGAATAGAGGAGACGAGGGAGCGCTCCCACGCAGCTGGAAGGAGCAGGACTCAGCTCAGAGTCTGCACGCACACCATTCCCAGCCCATACCTTCCTGTCTGTGTGTGCAGAGTTTCCAGGCTGCTTTGTAACCAAGCACATCAGTGCTCCAGGGTTTGCTTTGCTGCCTTGCAGAGCTTTCAAGTATTTTCAGGGATGTCTGCCCCCTGTATCTCGTGGTCGCTGGCTTCTCTTGAAAGCTTTCAACAAGTTTCATGATGGACAGGATAGCGTGTTTTGGACGGGCCTCCAAAGCTGACTGGCCTTTTTTTGTTTGCTGTTTATTCTTCTGTCATCTTTCCTTCAGCAATTACTATTTTTGTAAACTGTTGATTTCAGAGAAATATGAGCAAGCCAGGTGGACCTCCTCCCATACAGCTCCAGTGGCACTAGGGAAATTGCCTTTTACAGACATACAGTTATTCACTTGCTTAGTCTGTAGCTCTGACCCTCGTGAGTCTGGCTTTGCGTCAACAATCATAAGAAAGAACCATAATTTTAAAGTCATCAAATGTTTTGCGTTATGATTAGCTATTTTTTCTTCTTATTGGAAAATGTTGGTGAGTTTTAACTGCTTTCATTATATTTGATGTGCACAATTCTTTACACATAATTGGTGCTCAGCGATCCTCCATTTATTCAGTTTTGTCCTCACAACATTAAGTATTTGATTTTTCATTTTCTGTAAATAATGGCAGCTGTGCTCTTTGCCCAAGACTGAATTGCTCCAGGTTGACTTTCAGTGCACTATTTTCCATTACCACAGGGCAGTAACAAAGGCAAATGTTGCTAAGACAGTTTGATCCCAGGCTCAGTAGCGGTGCCACTTCTGTTCTCAGTACGCTTGGCCAAGCTCTCAGCTCTGTGTGTCAGATGCAGAGAGCTGAAGATTACCGCAGTGCTCTGCAGGAGGAAGTAATTATGTTGTCCCTTCTAGCCAAACCTCTGTTCACAGCCTTGCTATGCTTGCAAGGCATTGCTCGGGGTCCCTTCTGTCACCCACTTCCTGCCTCTGCCTTTTGATGAAGCAGCAAAGCTTTCCCTGCACCCCACAGCTGCAGGTACCACAGTGCAGGAGCAATCCCTCCTGCTCCTGGAGTTATTCCTAGTTCTGATGTTGTAAGCCCCATGTATGTAAATCATTCTGGGTTAAGTGACCTCTAAAATTATATCAGTTTTAAAAACAGGGAAAAGAGATCTGAAACAGTGCTTTAGGTTGTTAGTGCTTGACACTGTTTTCTGCACAGTGAGTATTCACTTAAGTCATGCATTTCTTACATTTACTCCCGTGAGAGCTCAGAACTTTCCCATAATCATAGCACTTAGGAGTTAAAAGAGAAATTTCCGTGTAGGTTTGGGTGCCACAACATAAGAAAGACATAAAACTCTTACAGAGCATCCAGAGGAGGGACTGGAATATTGGGAAGGCAAGAGGGGTGAGGAGCAGCTGAGGCCCCTGGATTTGTTGGGCCCAGAGCAGAGGAGCTGAGGGGAGCCTGATGGCGGCTGCAGCTCCTCACAGGGAGCGGAGGGCAGCGCCGAGCTCTGCTCTGTGCCGCAGGGATGGGCTGAGGGGACGGCATGGAGCTGTGTGAGGGGAGGGCTGGCTGAGGGCAAGGGACAGGTTCTGCACCAGAGGGTTGTGCACATGGAGCAGCTCTCCAGAGCCCTGGGGCACTGCTGTCAGCAGCAGGGTTGGGTTTGAGTCGGTGCTCTGTGGGCTCTGTGGGCTGGGAGACAGGGGCTGAGCTCGGCTTGTGTCTCTTCCAACTCAGGATACTCTGTGATTCCATGATCATTAATAGGAATAATGCAGTTTTCTAGAACTGCTGTGTGCTTTTTGTAGTGTTCTTGCAGACAGCAGGCTGAGTGTGAGTTTGTTTCCTTACAGATAACAAGGAATATGATGCGTATCTTTCATACACCAAAGTGGATCCTGATGCACTGGATTGTGATAATAATGAAGAGGAGCAGTTTGCACTAGAAATTCTGCCGGATGTTCTAGAAAAGCACTATGGATATAAGCTCTTCATTCCAGATAGGGACCTGATCCCTAGTGGAAGTAAGTATTTCTGACCTTCAAGTTTTAATGTAATTTCTGATGCTTTACGAATGCCTAGTCTGTGCAACAAGGGCTTGGTACAAAAACTTCTCTCTGTGAAGCAGTTTTAGGGAGTGGATAAGTCTCCCTGCTGCTACAGATTTGAACTCTAGGTTAGAGGCAGTTCCTGCACCACTGAAAGCAGAGGGAGCTGTTATTGATTTCAGTGGAGGCAGAAGCCAGACCTTTCTACAGAGGAATTTGTAGTGCTGCAAGCAATGCTGTAATCTAAAATTTCTGTCAGACTCAGTCACCTAAAAATGCAACTCCCCAGAAAGATTTTGTAGTCTCTGTATAATCATTGAAAATGGATTTTTTTTTAAGTAATTTCTTTTTTGTCTGTCTTTTTTCCCTTACTTTGAAGTCTCGTAAATAGCTACATTAATTTCCCTATCAATGCCATACATGCAGTTTTTCATTAGAGTTTTGACCAAATGTTGCATTTCTGAGCAGGATTGTTATTCTTCAGACAACTCTGTACAGTCCTGCAACCTGATGGCCATCTTCCACTCTGACAGTGTAATACAGATGTCCATTTCAATCAGTTTCACTGGCATGTCTGAACATTCAGCGGCGTCCTTAACACTTAATCAACACTTAATGCTTTCTTAGCTGTGTTTATAGCATCTCATCTTCCTGATTCATTTTTGGATAAATCAAATGCACTATGTCGATGAATGCATAGTAGGTTTGTTTAGTATCTATTTATTCCTCTGAAATACTGAAATTCTACCCATCCCTTTCCTTACTTTATTGTTTTAACTAATGCTGTCTGAAAATCATTTCAATGAAAAATGCTAAAAGAGAGTTCTTCTCTCTGCATGTACTGCTGGATAGGAAATATGCACAAGAGAACAAAGCAGTGACAGTGCTGGAGCAGATGTCCCCAAACATGAAACAGCTACAACACGACTGCTTTAGCAGCTTGCTTGCCAAAGACTTGAAGCTGCTGCCAAACCCCAGTGCCTGCCCTAGAAGTTGGAGCCTATTTCTTCTCTGTTTGAGGGAGCTGGAAGCAGATTTCTGACTCCAGTCCCAGTGGGAGAAGTCAGAGCCTAGTCTGAGGTCAGGCACAGTCCTCTGTAGGGGCTTGTACAGACCTTGTGCTTTTGCAGCTCCTAGGCTGGAGCTGCTTCCTCTGTTCCTTTGCTCTGTGAGGAAAGTCATGCCCTGCAAAGTATGAGTTTTACTCCATTAGTCCCCAGAAACAAAAGACAGGTTATAGAAAAAGTAGCCTTTTTATTTAAGGCAGCCCAAGCAAGCGGTACTGAATTATTGGATAATTAGGGAAAAGTACGTCTTTTTGTGTTAAAAATCACAGAACTATAGTAAATGGTTGTTTTATATCCAGCAACGAAGCAGTTATATATTGCAATTATACAAGTTATTAAGCAGTTTAAATCTGGTCTTTCGGGGATAACTGCACTGAAGCACAAATTCATCTGAAATGAGCTTCATCTTTCCAGTTGGCATACTATCCAGCATGATGTTGTATTCTTGTCTATTTTTGTCAGTCAGACACTCAGCAAATACTTGTCATCACTTTGGGTCTTCATTAAAACTCTCCTGAAAATGTAGGATACCTTAAAATGTCAATTCTCATTTATGAGCATTCACAGACTTAATACTTCTTGTTTCCTCTCAAACTCACTTCTCCAGTGTTATAAAGGGGCCTGACACCAGCATGTGAAGCTTCAAGTGTGCTTAATCAGACATAATGGCAATGCAGAATAAAATGTGGATCTGAAATGAGTGTGATTTGCATGCCTTGGCTTTGAAAAAGATGTGGGGATGACATTTTATTTTGAGAGGTGATGGAGAAGGATGGAGGAGTCGGACTCAGTTGTTTGTAAACTCTCTGTGTGCCTGTGAGAGGTGGAACGTGGCTGTTTCTTGTGCTCTATGCAATACTCACCAGTCTTACAAGGGCTTGGAGTGCATAGTGAAGAGATCAGGCATCATGGGATGGCACTGACCTCCCAGAAATTTTAGAGCTGAACATAACGTATTCCAATGTGACAAAATATGTGGCGCTTCAGGACAGGTTTGTACAGAATGAGGTTTTGATCCTAGTGACCTTTTTTGATTTTAGGAAATATTTCTCACATGCATTGCATTTCACTGTCTTTTCGTGTAAATGACTTTGTGATGTTATATTTTTCCACTCTCCGCCCTGATGATTCCTTATGTACCTTTTCTGAATACTTAAATGTGTGATTCCAGCAAATCAGATGTGTTTTATAAGACGGGTTGTTTTGTACAGTCTCTGCAATGTTAAGGTGCTGCCACAGGAGGGTGTGCATTATTGGGCTTGCTTCTTGGCATGAAGCAGTACATTCAGCTGCTATTCGGATTTGAGAGCTAGCAAAAAATAGATTTGTTAAATAGTATTTCATTTATCTTTCTTGGACTCTTCCCTGAACAAACTGAAAAGCTGACTTCAGAAAATTCAGGGACAAGCTTGATTATGCTTTTGCCAGCTGGTTCATCTCTAACCTCTGGGGAAAAGCCATGATAGGTTATGCATGTCCCTCTGCAGATGAAGGACAGATCAGATCCAGATGTGCCTGAGCAGGGACTCACTCACCCATCAGACTGCTGCTCTGCCAAAGGGAGACCCTGGCAGTGTCCCCACTGCGTAGCCTAGCTCGGCACTCTGGCTCAGTGCTGAGACTGTTTCAAGGTGCATATGGAGCAGCTGTTGCCAACTCAAGGACAAAGATGATGGCTGTGGAGGCCAAGGCCACCTCTTCACTCTTGGAAATGCATCACATTTGCAGTAGGCATTCGTTTCTGAGTCCTTCAAAGCTGGAATACAATTACTATTCCTGCAGAGCAGTTTTGTTCAGCAGTTCAGAACTGCTGGGAAGGGCACTGAGGGTCTCAGTGTTGCCCACCTTGCAATGGCCAGCCAGGACCTTTGAAGTCACTCTTGGTGTTGTCTGAGAAAAAGGATCCAGCTCCTGAGCTGGCGAGGTGTAAGCAGGGCTCAGACAGCCACTACTCCTCTGCTCCGGTTCATGCAGAAGCCCACATGACCATGGAGGCTGGAGAAGAAGCAAGAGGGCAACGAGACATAGATGCAGTGTGTTTTGTAAGCAGAAAGACCAAGTTTGACATTCATTGCAGCTTTTCTTAAAGAGTTTTCTTTGCTCTTAGTAGAGAGCACTCTTCATTCCCTCGAAGCTGACAGCACATGGAGCTTTCTGCTTAGGCACCTGAGGCATAACTGAATGTGTTGGACCTCCATAAGGACACTGTGATCACTAACAAACAGTTGCAGTAGCTATGAATTTCTTAGCTGTTATCATTTTTTCCACACTATTCATTTTCAGGGCTTTGTTTCAACAAACCCTTTCCCACAACCAAGCAGACTCTTGAACCCCTTGAGCTTTTTAATTCAATGTTAGAAGACCTGAGGAGCCTGAATTGTTGAAAGAAAAAAAATGGAAATACTTAAATTTTTACCTGAGCCATTTTCTGTCTCACTAAGGATGATGTTTCTACAAAGAGAATAATATATTTGCACTTGGCTCTTCTAAAACTGGGTCCACACCAGAGAAAGATACTTTTTTCCCGTCGTTTCTACAAATTATTTTAAACTCAGAAAGTAAAGAGGTCAAGACTGTCAATCTGTTTTTAATTCCACCAACACAAATCTCTTAGAACATCATCTAGTTGCTTTCCAAACATACTTATATCTGATGTTGGCAGGATTGGAAACACACCAGCAATTTGCTCCAGCTCAGCCCAGGGTATAGAGATCAGGCACTGAAAATGAAAATCCACTTTTACTGGAAAATGAGATGTTGGCAGCACAACAAGAGAGCACCTCAGGCATGTGATAAAAAGCACCCATCAGTCAATGTTACAGTTCTAGTTTTTTGTAGTTTTGTCTGCCTATGTGTGATGGGTTTCTTTTTTGTTTGGTTTGGTTTTCTTTTATTGGTTGTTGTTTTTTTTTTCTTTTTTTGTGTGTGTGGGGGTTGTTGTTCTTGTGGGTTTTGATATTTTTTTTTACCTGGTGATTCCAACTTTTTGGATTCCTGGATGAAGATGGACACATGGACAGTGTGCCTGGGGTTCCCAAGGAGCGTTCATCAGGTATGTGACACCATTTATGTGGAATGGAAATAGAGTGCTCAGCACCACAAAGTCCTTTCACAAGTCCCTCATTGTCTGCTCAATATGAATCTTACAGTTAATGACAAGCATGTAAAAATGAAATACAGAGGAACGGCAGTTAAAAACGAAACAAATATGAACAAACTCCCACCCGTCTTTAGAGTCAGCCAAGACAGACTGGCCACCCTGGTTTTCTGAAGGCCATCAAGATGATCAGGAAACTGGAGCACACAGCATAAGAGGAGAGGCCAAAAGAGCTGTGTTTCTTGAAGAAAAGACCAACAAAGATAAAACCAAGGGGGAATCTTACTGTTCTCTTTCTGATGGAACACACAGAGAAGATGGAGCCAGGCTCTTCTCAGAGATGCACAGTTGCTAAATAAGAGAAAACAATGAAAATTCCAATTAATCATTTGTAAATATTTCCTTGCCATGAGGGTGTTCAGACACCAGAACAATACCCAAAATCACTGGAGGAGAAACTTCCATCCTTGGAGATCTTCAAAGTTTTACTGAACAAGGCCGTGAGCAATCTTATCTGTTCCTGGTTTGGGCAGAGGATTGACCCAGAGACCCCCAGATCCCACTTCTGTCTTGTGTGATTCTACAAACTTTTGATTCCAGATATCCAGAATTTTGATTCCAACATCCACCACCATATCAGTGTCATCAAAATCATCAACTTCACCTCAGTCTGCAAGGAGACATTGCCGGAGCTGTTCTGCTGTTCCTCATCCTTAGCACTGAGAGGGTTGCGTGTCAAGCTGATCTGTGTTATTTGCTTCTTTCCATTGTATTCATGAGCTGACCCTTAGCTTATATGAGATTATGCTGTCTTTGGGGCAGGGCTGTCACTCTTATCTGTGTTCCAGCAGTACCAACTGTGTTGCTGTTCTGACTGAGGCTAACATAAACAACAAACAAATATAAAATTTGTTTGAAATAGGAATAGCAAGATGTAATTATTTTTGTTGTATGGAAGTAACCTAAGTTAGGGTTTGGTGAATATTCAGTTAAGAAGGAAGGACTGAATTATAGTTCTATAAATAATTCACCCTCAAGTAATAGTCATGTTGCCGAATGCATGGTTGTTCTCAGGGCACTAGGAACCAGCATGGTTGATGGTGCATACTCTTTGGTCTTTGTGGTGCTGCAGACTACCCTGGTTAAAAACATACATAAAACATGACATAATTGCTTTTCTTTATCTCGCAACTGCTTCTGAAGATCATCTGAGTCTAGTTAGTCAGGCTTTGTGTAAGCAACTCTGTGTCCATGGTGCTTATTAGTTTTCTTGATCTTGGATTGTTTGCATATTTGGTTGTCTGGGTTTACTTTTAGCCTGTGGTTAATGTAGCTCATTCAAGATTCAATAGGCAATTATGCATAATTACATTCTTCCAAATAGGATGCGTATCTTGGACTTCTGTGCTCCAAACTGCAGTTCAGCATCACTTCACGCTGAGTATCGAGTGTGTGTGTATTTGCTGTCAGGTCGTTTATCTTCATTAATGAGGGTAATCATGCAAAAAACCATGATTGTTCATGGGTGTGGAATTTCTTGTTCATACTTCCTTGGACATCACACTGTACGTGATGTAAGTAAGTTACTGATACAGCTACCTAAAGTGCAAGTTTTTTTGACCTGTGAGAAATGCTAACGTGAAACTGGTTTGACAACATATTGCAAAATGGTATTTTAAGGAAAGGAGAAAAAGAAAAAAAAAGGTTTAAAAAAGGTTAAAATGATTTAGGTGTTCTTCATTAAAATCATGTGGGTTAATTCTGATTCTGGTGTTTTATTTTTGTATTAAAGTTTATGATAAAATATACTTCTGGGGAAGAAAAGCTAACTATTCCATACCAATGGTTTTGAAGATTTTTTTTTCTCCCCTCACAATGAAATGTCATTGAAGTTGACTCTTCTTTTGAAAAGAAATGAAGTCTTAATGAGATGAGATTTACCTGGTGGAAATATGTTTGTGTGGAGTCTTGCAGTTGATGATGGTCGGTGATGTGAATCCTGAAGTCTTTTTTTAACTTCTTCATGAAAGTGAAACAGCCATTGCTTAACAATTACTTTTTAGCTCTCTGGAAGGAAGAATCAACTCTCTTTCTCCGTCCCACACTGCAGCATAGCTCAACCTACAGTTTTTGGAGCAGTGTCTAATTTGGAAGTGAAGGATGATTTAGCAACTCCACGATTTATACAATCAGTTTTGTTCCACTGAAGAAAATAAGGTGTGGATTTCCACAGGCCTTACTAAGACAAGAATCAGTCTTTCTTTGCTCTTCCATGCAGAAATGTTTGATGTACGTGTTGGACGTGCTGTAGAGCTTGCCCAATGGAACCACACGTTCCAGAGAAGCTGTCACTTGACCTTAGTAGTAGTCTCAGGCTGAAGTTTTTGAGAGTATACAACGCTGCTGGGGCAGATGGATGGAAAATGTATTTATTTTTCATCTGGGTCTCCATTTTTCTGTAATACAGCGTATTTCATCTTCAGTGCACCAGTAGGCTCCTGTACATTTGCTGTGTCTGTCATTGAACCAGCTGCTGGACTTTGCAGGAGCGCTCCTTTGTGAAGGTTTCTATTCAGTTGTCTGTAGGAAGAGCTCTAAATTGTTGCAGTGTCCATCAAGTAAGCTGGGCATAGCAGGGGAGAGGCACAGAGGGGAGAAGTGTCCACCCGTAAATAGGGAATTTTTCCTGTCATCTTCCCTCCTAATTTCAACTAAAGCAAAGTTTGGTGAGTTTTTTTGATTGAAATGATGTAATGAGTAACAGAGGGATTGTTTCTATTGAAATTATTACTGCTGGATATTTGGAGATGTGAAAGGGAAGTGACTTTTTTTTTCTTTTTAGTTTGTTGCATATAGGATGTGCATGGCTGTGCTTAGCTCTAACCTGGATACGTGGTACTGAATGGTATTGTGTCCTGCTGAGAATGTCTTGTACATTGCAGTGTTCTGAGTTTTTTGGAGGAGGGGTAAATATGTCTCAGGAAAGATGCATGATAGCATGTTGTTTTACTGTATCTTGCAGATTCAACCTCTAATGATGAAGCTTCCCACCTAAATTCTTTCTTTTTGGGAGCAGAAAGAAAGGAAGAAAATGAAGAGTCTGAGCTGTTGATACATTGGGATAATCTCTTTCCATTGTATTGAACATTTCTACCTTTCCTTAAGTTTTGTTTCACCAGTTCTGCTTATCATTTTCTTATTGTTGCTGATTCTCTCCCCTCTCCGCTGCCTCTCCCGTGGATCCTAATGTTGGTGTTTTTTCATTAATGAGTAGCCATCTTACACAGAGCAATGTGGGGTTTTTCTTCATAAAACATTTCAAGAAAAAAAAATCAAATAACTGTAATTGCTGCATGATTTAAGAGTCTTAAAACGTTAATTAAAAGTCAGGATTGTTGCGCAGAGATTTGTAATGTATGTGTATGTCTTGAATTTTTGTTTGTCTGTGGGATGTTTGCAATTGCCTCTTTTTTCCCGTTTGTGAAAGAAATTCCTCTTGCTGCTAGGTGGTGAAATAAAGCATTAGTAAAGGCAGATTTGATGCTAACTACGCCTTCAATCTCTAAGCTATTTTAGAATGTGTTCCTGTTGGCCGATTTTGTAGCTATTTGCTTTACTGGAAGTGGTGTGAATAAGCATGCTGTGGTATGGTGCCTGAGGCTATAAAAATGAGTCTCTATAAAAATGAGTCTTGCAGTAACAGATGTTGATTAATGATGTTATTTGTAATCATTGTTCCTGCTAGAGGGCAGTGTGTGTAAGAGAGGCCCTGCCCTGTGCTGAGTAAAGATCTGTTCTGTGCAGCTCTTGTGTCCAAGTCTTCATTTATAACACATGCTTCTCCTCTGTTGTCAGCAGCACATTCTGAGTAGCATGATCAAGAGGGTCACATAGTTATAAAGAAAAAACAGTGGTTATATCATGTCTCTAAGCCTGCAGTCACAGCGCTGTGCAACCAGTGAGCACTTTTCTGATCCTAGCTGTTTTGTTTTTTTTTTTTTTTAATTATTTTTATTTCTCTGGTCTTGACCCAAAACCCTTCAAAATGTGGTGAAGTTTGGTCATTTATATGGGTTTTGGATCAGGTCTGTAAGTAGATCTCTTTCCCATCCTGTTCCATGTCAAGAATACAATTGGCATCTCTTCCTACCCTCCCTGGACAAATAAAACTCTGGATCAAAACCCTGAGTCCAACTTCAAGATTATTTTCTAGATCAGTAAGCTGACACCATGGGCTGGTATTTCTGTTTACACTGATCATTCACAACTACTTGGTGTGCATGAATAAAAGAAGACTACTATTATTTTCCTTGTCACTGATGTTTGAGCAAATAAACACATCCAATATGCTTAAATTTTCCATTTGTTCCCATCACTTGTGAAGTTTCTGTTAATACCTTAGGGTACATAGAAGCACAGGTTGCAATATTAAAACAGACTGTTGGGCTACAAAGAACACTCTTGTGATTTTGTGGCCAGTACCCGAAGAAGAAAGAGCTGCCTTGCTGCTTCTATGCAATAGCACAATTTCTGCATGTGTTCAGGGTTGATTTCTTTTTAAGCTCTTGCTAGTTACAGTTTCACACCCCACAGCATCCTCATGTCCTTCCATCCGAAACACAAGAACTGCTTCCCAGAGTGTGCTTCCCTCAGTGTGACTTTAATCATAAGCAGTGTTAATGTTAAAATTTACACAAGTACTACATTGATCTTGACCTAGAATTTCTCAGTAAGTGAACTGTGTATTTTTAGGCACTAATGCATCTGCACAGCGAGGAGATTACGGAAATGTCATCGTGTTGAGATGAGCAGACAAAAACAGTTGAGGATTGAGGATGTTATGAAGGCATTTTCTCTATATATCCTATTAATAGAAATGTGTTGTGATACACAATCCTATTTCTGTTGGAGTATGTAATGAAGTGCCCCTTGTCTTAAGTGGGGTGGATCAGTGAGCCGTAGGATTTTGTTAAACTTAATTGCAAGCCTGATGTTTTGATACAATAGTCTTCTTTATTCTTTACTCTTTCTCTCTTTCTATAATTTGTAGCCTACATTGAAGATCTCACAAGATGTGTTGAGCAAAGCAGAAGACTCATTATCGTGTTAACTCCAGACTATATTCTCAGGAGAGGATGGAGTATTTTTGAGATGGAAAACAGACTCCATAACATGCTAGTCAGTGGAGAAATCAAAGTTATTTTGATTGAGTGTACTGAATTAAAAGGGAAAGTGAATTATCATGAAGTGGAATCTTTAAAGCACACCATCAAACTTCTCTCAGTGGTCAAGTGGAAAGGACCAAAAAGCAGCAAACTGAATTCTAAGTTTTGGAAGCGCCTAGTCTTTGAAATGCCAGGGAAGAAAAAGGAGGTGGTGTCTCGGCGTCAGGTCCTGGATTCTGCGGAGCAGGGCCTTTTTGGAGACCTCCAGACTGTACCCTCTCTTGCCGTCACAGGCACTTCTGCCACGCTGGTAGAGTCGCGGGCTGATCTAACTGATTGCCATCGAGCAGATTCTGTGCAAATGAGACATTATTGCAGAGGATACGAATATGATGTGTCAGCAGCAACATTGCCAATAGCTTCCATAAGCAACCATCATACATACTGTAACATACCTCTGACACTCCTAAATGGACAGCTACCTCTTAACAATACCATGAAGGACTCCCAGGAGTTTCACAGGAACAACCCATTGCTACCTTTATCAGCAAGGGAGCTTAGCTTCACCAGTGATATTTGGTAGTGAAGATCAGGAGACTTTTGAGATGCTTCATGACTGCCATGAAGACACATTTTTAAAGAACTTTGCCCAAACCCCACGGGGCATCAAATCATATTTGAAGCAGCGGCACACTTATTTGCTTTTCTACTTGAACTTTTTTGTTTACATTTACAAATTACTGACAAAGAGGGCATTCTTTTGTAAGTCAGCAATGTCCTTCCTGTCTTTTAATGTACAGCTTGATTGCTTCTTTAAAAAAGGGGGAGAGAAAAAGCACATCCCGTCATTCTGCACTTAGGGATAGATAGCAGTTTGCTGTATATGATCTCCAGCATTTGTATCTAAGTAACAGTATTTCAAATACACTGAAGTTGTTGGCTTTTTCGTGTGAACTTCAGTACAGTTTGAAATTCCAGTATCGTATCATGCTACAGAAATTATCTCCTGCACAGACCACGAGGGGTTAATCATTCAATAGGAAGGAGGAGGAACTCCTCCCAGTATCGTTGTCTCTCAGATGCATTTTAGAAGATGACGAGCTGAAACAATGCAGATGAAGCTTTATCAATAAAGTGCACAGTAACACTTCCTAAAGAATAAATCACCTGCTTGCATCAGCACCTCTTCATTTGTTTGTTGAGACATGTTGCATTCCCAGTGGCTGGTTAGCAATATGGTTTTGTTAAACAGCTTATTAGGGTACTGGAAGGTGTTTGGCGGGATTTAAAACAACTTTTCTGTGATTAATAGATTATTTCAGACTTATTTTTGCAGGTTTTTAATGACATTTTTAAAACTGACTGAAGTATGAATTTGTCTGTTGGTGAATGCATTGATTTGAAATTTCCTAAGATCTCCAGAGCTGTGTTAAGGTTTGTAAAAAGGCAGTGTAACTTTACACGGTATTTTTTTCCTCCAAAATGAACAGTTAAAATTTCAAATTAACCTTTTTTTTCTGAAAACATCAGCAATAGAAAATCATTACTGCAGCAATATTCAGAGATGAAGTGCTGAATTATCCAGGTTTACTAGTAAACTGACTTCAAATGCAGTGATAATCACCTGAGGCAGTTCTCTATCTACCTGACAATTTACGTCCTCTTAAAATATGGCTGAAGCAGGAATATTTCCACTCCGTGCAACTGGTGAAAAGTGATATTTTTAAGAAGCTGGTAAAGGCTTGCATTTCTTCCATTTCTTCTGTACACACTCCCATCAGTCAAACGAGGACACTCTCATTTATCTTCCGTGGAAAGCACTGAATCTGAGTTTTGTTCAGACAAGTATGTTTCATAAGGATTTCCAGACCCAGCTGATCACAGGTTCCAGTCAGACCATGAAGACAGCCGTACTCATGGAAAAAGCTGTAATAACAAAGGCAGAAGCCTTTGGCACAGCTTCACTGAAAACATAGTAGGCATGAGAGTTTTGTCTCGGTAAGATCTGCTGGAGCAAGTCCCCAAAAATGTTTGTAAGGCAGGCAATCTCGCCTGTATTTCAGTATGTTTTTTGCATTGTCCTCTTTGATTGCATGGATAAAAGTTAGCATTCTGCACTCAGCTGCCTGTGGTTCCATCAGCAAACAAGCTCAGTAAATCTTTAATGTTTAGTAGTGGTTCCTAAATTGTACCCTACGGTCAAAGTGAAAACAAACACTGACATAAGACTTAGAAGTATCCAGAATTGGCCCAAAGGCCATGAGAACGATCTCACACATGCAATAATTCATAGAGGTCAATACTTTTCCATTGCTTCTTTCCCCAGTACTTTATTCTGTGCCCTCTTACATCATTTTTATCTGTAAACTTCTCCTTAGGTTCTAAAAAAATACATTTCTCCTGTTGCTTTTTCCAGTATTGTCATTATGCATTTGACACTAACAACACAACAGTTCTCTAGGAAAGATACTAATTTATTACACAGTGTAGGACTATAACTTGCTCTTTTGTGAAGTTAAGTTCAGAACATATCGATAGGTGTTTAATATACATATTTTTCTACTGAGAGAGTGATTTTACCTCCATTATAAATATATGTATCTCAACCTCCTCCCAGAAATCTATGAAATTTGCACTGTTTTATAAGTGTTACGGACTGTGTTTACACTGGCTGTGTCCTTTAATGCAAAATGTAATTTTGAAAAAGAACAAAAAAAAGTAAAGAAAACCCTGCATGAAGAGAGCTGCGTATGTTTAAATGAAAAGCTGTACTTTTCATTATTTTCCTTTCCACTTTACTTTAGAATCCGGTTAATTCACATAGAATGTTCAGTGAGATTTCAAACCTACTTGTTCTGTATTAAGCATGCAAACTGCAAAAAAAAAAAAAAAAGAAAAAGAAAAATCCACATACAGATTGGTCTGCTTCTTTTACTTACAATGATTAGATTTGGATAGCAAATTCATTTACTTGACGGCTTACTCTTAGAGCAGTAGCTATTCAAAAGCAAAATGCAGTCATGTTTGTATTGAAGTAACATGAAAAGAACAGTTTTTCTGTCATTTTGCAAAGCACACTGCGTGTCCGTGTATCGATATATTTTAGTTATAGATGACAAGTCACAATCTGCTTTAAGATTTCAGAGTGTGTATTGAGTACGATGACAATATATACATGAATCAGAACTGCCTGTACCCCTCTGCTTTCAGTGCGGGGAAGGGACTTGAGCTCAGGAGGCCTCTGCTGTCTCAGCTTCGTGTAGCACTGCTGTGATGTGCCGGAGGTCAGACATCACTGTAGGTAGTGATGAAGGGCCTGGAAAAGTCCTGCCAAGCAGTGAAACGCATGTGTGAGTGGGACCTGGGTGGCACCGAGGCTGGGGGCCTTCCCAGTGTGCAGCCATGGGCGTCGTGCTGTAGCTGCCCTGCAGCCGGATCGGGGCCAGGGATGCCAAAACATTTTGCTCGTTCATACAAACTTCATTAGCTGAAATAGAAGGGCACTCTGCGTTCCTCTGTCTCACCAAAGCCTCGTACTTATTCAGCTGGAGATACTGGGGATGAAGACAGGGCTCTCCCTTGGCAGTGCTTATGGCTGCACTGCTGTGCAGCCCCTGCCACCCACAGTGACGTATGGCAACGTGTGTAGTGGCCTGTATAACAGCCTGCAGGCCTCTATGGCAGCCTGTGGGCCTCTATGACAGCCTATGTGATGGCTTGTGTAACAGTCTGTATAACAGCCTGCAGGCCTCTATGGCAGCCTGTGGGCCTCTGTGACAGCCTATGTGATGGCTTGTGTAACAGTCTATATAACAGCCTGCAGGCCTCTATGACAGCCTGTATAACAGACTGTAGGCCTGTATGCAGCCTGTATGTCTGCATGACAACCCGTATGACAACCTGTACAACAGCCTGACAAGCTCACAGGCAGTAAAGATCCTTCCTGCAGCCATGCACAGCTTCTGATCTGGGGCACGTCCATCTTAAGTGCTTTGGTTGTAATGTTTCTTTGGATATTTACCTTTGTGTGTGATGTGCTTCAGAAGCAATTATGGTTTGAAGGTTGTATATAGAAATTGGATAGAAATTGAAAACCTATTCACTCTACAGATTTTACACTCCTAAAGAACATTCAGAGAGAGGGCAGGGTAATTTTGATGTTAGTAACAAGGCAGAGTGAAGATGGGCACTTGTGGAGGGGGGTGTGGGAATGGGACTGCGTGCTTAGCCAGTGTTCTAGTAATCCTTTCTGTAGACACTGAATGAGAAAGCTGTATTAACATATTGCCATCTTCTGTCTGCAAAGCCTGCTGCAAAAACCCTCCAGTCTAACAAAAATAGTTCCATCAAATGCAGTAGACCTAGAATAAAGCTATAAAGCCAAGCAGTACTTTTACTGTGTTCAGGGGAATAAAGAGAAGACCAAAGGGCCAGAAAGAAGTAAGTCTAGAGACTAATAAGCATTTGATTATTTACTCTGTCTTGAATCAAGCTTATTTTTGTCTCTGTTTGGTGCGGATGTGCTCCAGCACTGTCCAGCATTGGGAAAGGAATTCTGTTCATTTATTTCTTATAAACAAGATAAGGACTTGAGAATAAATAACAGATACTTTTAGAACAAAACCCATGTGGTTTTTAAGGACTTCTACTCCACTCTCAGCAGCTTCTTTTGATTCAACAGACTTAATTCATGCAAATTCATAAGGACATACTTAAATTCCCCTTAATTGGGTGAGAAATACTTTCCTGTGTGGGGTTTAGAAGACTGGTTCATAGACCAGTGCCTGAAATAACGGTATTTAAGCACTTTAAGAATTATGCCCTTATGCAGATCCTCAGAGCAGCTTGTCTGATTTTGGTTCCTGCATAGATGCTGTGCTGTGGCAGAGCAGCTGGCAAGTCTTGCCATCATGGGTACAGGACAGGCAGTCCTTGGTGCTCACCAGCTTGGCAGTGACATTGCCCTGGAAGCTCAGTGCCAGAGTGGGGAGCAATGTCTCTTGTGTCCCACTGGGCCATCCGAGGGCTTTCCCTGTGACCTTGATGAGCAGCACAATGCAGGAAGCCTCTTCCACCGTGCAGCATTTTGTGCATCTTGTCCCACTTGAAGGTTCGTGCTGGGGCCGCAGAGTTATTGGAAGGCAAAGAGAGTGTGGAGCGTGAAGAAAGGAGAGGAAGAAAAGAGTTGTCACAGAGTCCAAGTGTTTTGCAGGCAGAAATGCCGATTCAGCACAGCACAGTGACGACCCTTGCACGAACACTTCATGTTTGTCCACTATTCAGTGGTCGCTGGGCAAAGTTCCCCTGAACAATACCATTTTTTGCCAGCTCACTTGCTTCAGAACTCTTGTTTTGATCCTTTTAAAATTAAACTGTCGTTTCCCATCGGACAGAAAATTTTCTTGGCGTATTCCATACGCACACACAAAAAAACCCTTCTGTTTTATGTGTGTGGAAATGCCCCACAAAGTAGAAATCTGTGCTTCCTGCTGGTCCTGTGGGTTTGGAGCTCACACGCGATGCCAGCAGTGTGATGCCAACCTCTGGTAAGCAGCACAAGGGGCACAGGTTGTGCTGTGCCATGGCTCCTATCGCTGGGGAGTCTGTACTCCCAACATATAAAAGTACCATGCCCTGTGTCTTGAAAGTATTTAAGGTTTTTAAACTTCGTAAGCAACAGTGGCTCAAATTGTTCCTTTTTGACTCCAGTTAGCACAGCATATGTTAAAAACATGGGAATCTGAAATAAGCTGTATTTTACAGGAGGAAATAAAAATTTGAAAATGGATAGCGAGGGCATGTCACGTCTGGGGAAACACAGAGAACAATGTTGATTTGCACTTTCTTGTTGTTGAAATGTACTTTGCTTCCCTAAAGAAATGACATGATATGTTTGGGGTGGTGAGTGGGGGACAGCTTTGCATTGCTTACGTTGCTTACTGCAAAAAGACATTTCATCATTTCAGTGCTGCTGGAGAAATCCAGAGGCTAATAAGGCTGCTTCAGAAAGGCATACAAGGTCTGAAAGAAAGAACTATGAAGCAAAAGTTACCGAGCTTTGCCAGGATTGTTGTCATTTAAATCTAAAACAGCAGCACTGCCAATAGAAGCAGAACATGACTTGTCAGCATTTTTGCTTCATTACAATATCATTGCACAGCTATAGGCCAAGCAGAAAAACAAATAAATAATAAAAATACAGTTTGTCAAGCTGAGCCAGATTATTATGGTAGGTATTCCATAAACACCCTTTGTAATTCATTTTGATAGAGTGTAATAGGCTTTGCAAGATTTTAAGAGCTTTCTCTTCAGGACAAACACAAAGAGAA